AAACCGCGCATCTGTGCCATTTACATACACAGAGACATGCAGAACATGCAGGATTCATAATTAAATAGTATTTTTGTGCCTTAATATTTACAGATACTAGTCCATATCGCGTCTCTATTTAAGTGTACTGACCTACTTTTGATTAATTCATCCAAACTTTGACAAATTTCGTGACGTTCCACGTCATACAGTAAATTCCATTTGCAGGTGCATCTCAATAAATTAGAATGTCGTGGAAAAGTTCATTTATTTCAGTAATTCAACTAAAATTGTGAAACTCGTTTATTAAATAAATTCAATGCACACAGACTGAAATAGTTTAAGTCTTTGGTTCTTTTAATTGTGGTGATTTTGGCTCACATTTAACAAAAACCCACCAATTCACTATCTCAACAAATTAGAATATGGTGACATGCCAATCAGCTAATCAACTCAAAACACCTGCAAAGGTTTCCTGAGCCTTCAAAATTGTCTCTCAGTTTGGTTCACTAGGCTACACAATCATGGGGAAGACTGCTGATCTGACAGTTGTCCAGAAGACAATCATTGACACCCTTCACAAGGAAGGTAAGCCACAAACATTAATTGCCAAAGAAGCTGGCTGTTCACAGAGTGCTGTATCCAAGCATGTTAACAGAAAGTTGAGTGGAGAAAAAAAAGTTTATTTCAGTAATTCAACTCAAATTGTGAACCTTGTGTATTAAATAAATTCAATGCACACAGACTGAAGTAGTTTAAGTCTTTGGTTCTTTTAATTGTGATGATTTTGGCTCACATTTAACAAAAACCCACCAATTCACTATCTCAACAAATTAGAATATGGTGACATGCCAATCAGCTAATCAACTCAAAACACCTGCAAAGGTTTCCTGAGCCTTCAAAATGGTCTCTCAGTTTGGTTCATTAGGCTACACAATCATGGGGAAGACTGCTGATCTGACAGTTGTCCAGAAGACAATCATTGACACCCTTCACAAGGAGGGTAAGCCACAAACATTCATTGCCAAAGAAGCTGGCTGTTCACAGAGTGCTGTATCCAAGCATGTTAACAGAAAGTTGAGTGGAAGGAAAAAGTGTGGAAGAAAAAGATGCACAACCAACCGAGAGAACCGCAGCCTTATGAGGATTGTCAAGCAAAATCGATTCAAGAATTTGAGTGAACTTCACAAGGAATGGACTGAGGCTGGGGTCAAGGCATCAAGAGTCACCACACACAGATGTGTCAAGGAATTTGGCTACAGTTGTCGTATTCCTCTTGTTAAGCCACTCCTGAACCACAGACAACGTCAGAGGTGTCTTACCTGGGCTAAGGAGAAGAAGAACTGGACTGTTGCCCAGTGGTCCAAAGTCCTCTTTTCAGATGAGAGCAAGTTTTGTATTTCATTTGGAACCAAGGTCCTAGAGTCTGGAGGAAGGGTGGAGAAGCTCATAGCCCAAGTTGCTTGAAGTCCAGTGTTAAGTTTCCACAGTCTGTGATGATTTGGGGTGCAATGTCATCTGCTGGTGTTGGTCCATTGTGTTTTTTTTAAAACCAACGTCACTGCACCCGTTTACCAAGACATTTTGGAGCACTTCATGCTTCCTTCTGCTGACCAGCTTTTTGAAGATGCTGATTTTCTTTTCCAGCAGGATTTGGCACCTGCCCGCACTGCCAAAAGCTCCAAAAGTTGGTTAAATGACCATGGTGTTGGTGTGCTTGACTGGTCAGCAAACTCACCAGACCTGAATTGTATTGTCAAGAGGAAAATGAGAAACAAGATACCAAAAAATGCAGATGAGCTGAAGGCCACTGTCAAAGAAACCTGGGCTTCCATACCACCTCAGCAGTGCCACAAACTGATCACCTCCATGCCACGCCGAATTGAGGCAGTAATTAAAGCAAAAGGAGCCCCTACCAAGTATTGAGTACATGTACAGTAAATGAACATACTTTCCAGAAGGCCAACAATTCACTAAAAATGTTTTTTATTGGTCTTATGGAGTATCCTAATTTGTTGAGATTGTGAATTGGTGCCAAAATCACCACAATTAAAAGAACCAAAGACTTAAACTACTTCAGTCTGTGCGCATTTAATTTATTTAATACACGAGTTTCACAATTTGAGTTGAATTACTGAAATAAATGAACTTTTCCGCGACATTCTAATTTATTGATATGCACCTGCATATGACTGGATTCCTCGATCCCGTCTGCATTTTCCGCATCGCGGAAATCATAGATAATATTGAGGTGTTTTGCAACTTCAGTGTAACGTTAGTGGATTGTGATTTATTGCAACTTAAGCAACGTCTGCTGCTGCCTTACCTTACCTAGAGACAACTGATGCGTGATCACTGAAGCAGCTCCAGTTAGCAAGCGCTTTCGGAGTGAGAGTGAATTCCGCATTGAATGGTCGAACTCCTGACTCCCAACAAATCAGATGGGCGGTGGGCGGAGATTGTTTTAGGCCACAGAGTGGCGAATTCTGACAGGCTGCATCAGAGCCAAATAGCGCGTTTCAAAATTAAGTTATTTTATCAGCGAATCGGTTTTGAAAATGACCGATACCGGTAATCATAAAAATGCTTAATATCGGCCAGACCGATAATCGGTCGACCCCTACATCACAGTATGTTAGGAGCGTAACATTTTCATCACACGCTTGAGGTATTCAGCCAATCACAATGCACTGGATAGATGGCCAATTAGCGTACACCTCACTTTTCAGACCGATGAGCTTTGTAAAAATCTACGCTTTTCAGAAAGGCAGGGTATAGAGGAGCAACAATAATGTACATTATGTGGAAAATAATGTGTTTTTTTTACCTCAAACAGAATAAACTCATTGCATTACACCAAATACACAACAATGTTCTTTTTAGCAACATCATATGACCCCTTTAACATATGATAAAAATTCTAAAACCTTTTCAGGCAAAATCTTACTGAATAAATCCTTAAGTGAACTAACTTCATAAAGGAGCTTTCTACTTGCATTAAAACCGGGACAGTCCAAAAGAATATGTTTGACAATTTTCAAGAGGGAAAAGTCAATCATTGTATTTTAACTAATAATGCCAATAAATTAGATAGAGAATAAGTTGCACTGAAACTGTACCTTCCATGCCTATGAGCAGCAAATTTGAGGTCAGCGGTCCCCAGTTTCGTTTAGCTTGCTGTTTGTTAATCCAGTTCCAATTGAATCCAAGGAAATCCACCACTATTTTTCGGCCAACTGTATCATTCAGAGTTTGTTGCAAGTACACTCTACAAATTAAACAGCAATGTCATTTCACAAGGTAAAATGTCAAAAATGAAATCAAGTAACTTCAAAATGCAATTCTACCTCTCAGAATTTTTTAATATTATTAAGTAAATATCTATCTGAATTTGCTTAATATTTATTAATAAAGGTAAACAATTGAAGGTCTGGAACCAGAAAAGATGATTGTAAATGATATACCAATAATGCCACCAAAGCAGAGTATCAAAAGGTCAGAGATGTGACCTGGACACAAGCTGGCAGAATTAACTGATTAGTTGTACACCGGAGCGGTTTTATTTCCTGGATTGCATTTCACGCATCTCAACAATTTTCAATAGGGTATATGTCGAATATCACCTGACCAAACCCGGAAAACAGGTCTCATTGCTTCCGCTTGCCGGAGAACGTGTTAACAGCCATATTAAATAATAGCGATATCTATGGACTTTTAAGATAATCAGTTAAACTAGCTAGCTGTTTTTATTGTTGACGTTTTATTCAATTTTTATATCTAAATGTGAAAAGAATAAAAATAAACAAAACTTTTAGATATCAGTCCGCATATGTGATGGACATTGGTTATGATCATCATTGGTATCTACTTTGAAGGCATCTTGAGTAAAACTGCTTCATATTTAACTAAGCATATGCAAAACTCTTGAACCGGAAGCGACGAGACCCGATTAACAGAATACGGAAGTCTGTTGCGCATAACCCCTATTGCACATGTACTGTTCATGTCATAATAAACAGCTCAAAACTTTATAGTCAAGGTCAAATTTAAACATACACTGTAAACAAATGTACACTTCTGATTCAGAAAGGATGTTTTAACTGTGAAAATAAAAAAAGACAGAGCAACCGTCTTTGTGTTTATGGCAAACATAGAGTTACAAATCAATGTGCCTTTTTTTTTTACAAAAAAAAAAAAATCACCTTTCTTTTCCACCTTGTTTCTCTGTTTGATGCATCTTGTCCACATGCGTGATCACTGAAGCAGCTCCAGTTAGCAAGCGCTTTCGGAGTGAGAGTGAATTCCGCATTGAATGGTCGAACTCCTGACTCCCAACAAATCAGATGGGCGGTGGGCGGAGATTGTTTTAGGCCACAGAGTGGCGAATTCTGACAGGCTGCATCAGAGCCAAATAGCGCGTTTCAAAATTAAGTTATTTTATCAGCGAATCGGTTTTGAAAATGACCGATACCGGTAATCATAAAAATGCTTAATATCGGCCAGACCGATAATCGGTCGACCCCTACATCACAGTATGTTAGGAGCGTAACATTTTCATCACACGCTTGAGGTATTCAGCCAATCACAATGCACTGGATAGATGGCCAATTAGCGTACACCTCACTTTTCAGACCGATGAGCTTTGTAAAAATCTACGCTTTTCAGAAAGGCAGGGTATAGAGGAGCAACAATAATGTACATTATGTGGAAAATAATGTGTTTTTTTTACCTCAAACAGAATAAACTCATTGCATTACACCAAATACACAACAATGTTCTTTTTAGCAACATCATATGACCCCTTTAACATATGATAAAAATTCTAAAACCTTTTCAGGCAAAATCTTACTGAATAAATCCTTAAGTGAACTAACTTCATAAAGGAGCTTTCTACTTGCATTAAAACCGGGACAGTCCAAAAGAATATGTTTGACAATTTTCAAGAGGGAAAAGTCAATCATTGTATTTTAACTAATAATGCCAATAAATTAGATAGAGAATAAGTTGCACTGAAACTGTACCTTCCATGCCTATGAGCAGCAAATTTGAGGTCAGCGGTCCCCAGTTTCGTTTAGCTTGCTGTTTGTTAATCCAGTTCCAATTGAATCCAAGGAAATCCACCACTATTTTTCGGCCAACTGTATCATTCAGAGTTTGTTGCAAGTACACTCTACAAATTAAACAGCAATGTCATTTCACAAGGTAAAATGTCAAAAATGAAATCAAGTAACTTCAAAATGCAATTCTACCTCTCAGAATTTTTTAATATTATTAAGTAAATATCTATCTGAATTTGCTTAATATTTATTAATAAAGGTAAACAATTGAAGGTCTGGAACCAGAAAAGATGATTGTAAATGATATACCAATAATGCCACCAAAGCAGAGTATCAAAAGGTCAGAGATGTGACCTGGACACAAGCTGGCAGAATTAACTGATTAGTTGTACACCGGAGCGGTTTTATTTCCTGGATTGCATTTCACGCATCTCAACAATTTTCAATAGGGTATATGTCGAATATCACCTGACCAAACCCGGAAAACAGGTCTCATTGCTTCCGCTTGCCGGAGAACGTGTTAACAGCCATATTAAATAATAGCGATATCTATGGACTTTTAAGATAATCAGTTAAACTAGCTAGCTGTTTTTATTGTTGACGTTTTATTCAATTTTTATATCTAAATGTGAAAAGAATAAAAATAAACAAAACTTTTAGATATCAGTCCGCATATGTGATGGACATTGGTTATGATCATCATTGGTATCTACTTTGAAGGCATCTTGAGTAAAACTGCTTCATATTTAACTAAGCATATGCAAAACTCTTGAACCGGAAGCGACGAGACCCGATTAACAGAATACGGAAGTCTGTTGCGCATAACCCCTATTGCACATGTACTGTTCATGTCATAATAAACAGCTCAAAACTTTATAGTCAAGGTCAAATTTAAACATACACTGTAAACAAATGTACACTTCTGATTCAGAAAGGATGTTTTAACTGTGAAAATAAAAAAAGACAGAGCAACCGTCTTTGTGTTTATGGCAAACATAGAGTTACAAATCAATGTGCCTTTTTTTTTTACAAAAAAAAAAAAAATCACCTTTCTTTTCCACCTTGTTTCTCTGTTTGATGCATCTTGTCCACAAACTCTGAAAATTTCATCTCTATTCGACGAGATTTGGGCACAAAGTCCTGAAAGTTTGCCATCTTCTTCTCGTCATAATACAAGAATTCGTGATTTTCAGCTATGTAAACAGAGAAGTCCCCATTTCCAATGTTCTCTTGCAAGTAGGGTATGTCCCATTTTAGAGCTGGATATACTAAACTGGTGTCTGTTAATACAACAGGCTCCTACAAAAGAAAAACATGCATCAAAAAATTTACAATTCAGAAGATTAATCATAGTCACACATAACTGTTTTAAAAACAACAGATTAACGAAGTGCTATTTTGGGTGAGTCATTCAAGTAGTTTCTCTTCATCATTCTGTAAGCGCAATCACCTTTAACTTTGCTCTGTGTTTCCTGTAGCACAAAACACACTACCACACTCATGGTTGCATTCAAACGCAAATATTTAGACTACAGCTTAAATACTAGTTTAAACCGAACTGCAAAAATACGGTCCAAGTCGTGCAGCCGCAGCGACCCCGCCGAGGCTCGCAGTTTATTTGACACAGAATTATCCTGATGCTGCAGCATGAAAAAAACAAAAGTGACAAGTGCTACGTGACCAGAAGAACGTAGACTGTTCCAGCACGCGCACTGAACAGTCCACGCTCTCGCGCTCCGCTGCAGCTACACTTACAGGAACAAACCACCATGCAGCGCCACAGAGCTTTAAATGTAAATGACTATTTTATAAATATTAAATTAGAATTATTAAATAACTTAGTATTGGACTATGATTCAGAAGTGTTCCTGCTCTCATATTTATATAATAATAAAAAAAATAGTGTTTGTGTACAGATTAAGACTTTGATTATACTTTCATTTATATGAGATATTTTTTCTTTAATACTTTTCCTTTCTGTTTGGTTCAGGAACCCCTCCCTAGGCCGTGTAAAAACACTGTAAATGTTTATACTTCTGATCTATCATTAAATCATAGAAATAAATGCTATAAATAATATTATAACGTCTAGTTAAAACGCTAACAAACTGTTTTAGAAAATGCACTATTTACATTTAACGTTACGATATCTTACTGAGATAATGCACCGTAAACTTGTCACTTTATGCAGAAATTATACACACCGACCCGTTTACTAATTTTCTACATTTAAAACATAACTTAACATGACAGTTACAAAACGATCTATGTTGTAACTAAGGAATAAACTTATTTATAACTAATTTATCACTGATCAGATTTGTCTGCTTATCGGGATCTGACGTACTTAAAGGATCTCCGATCAAACACATCAAGGAGTTTCAGCAATAATCCCAGCACGATCTATGATTCTTTATTAGACAAAAGGCGTTTAATAGCCTGCTGCTTGAGTTTGGTTAAATCATCATTTCATTTTAGTGCACCTTGCACCCATCCGAACGAAACTCCACTAACGTTAACTGTTACCCCATCTGTCGCACTCTAATAAGATGCAGGATAAATCTGCAAACATACCTCGTTATTGATGAGGACCTCAGCACGCGGATCTGTATGGGATAGTCGCGGTATCTGTCGGGTTGGAAAAGTATATTGTCGAAGCTGCGATTCATTCCAGCCTGTGTCGCGTAGATCCGTAAAGGCGGCGGCGGCGGCGGCGGCGGCGGCGGCGGCGGCAGCAGCAGCTCCATCGGTCTCTACCGGGTCCGACTCAGCCACGGTCGCGGCTGCCATGTCCTCTAAGTGCGCCAGAGGACTGCTGTTACTTCACAATAACGTTGCACGAGGGTGTACGGCACAGCCGTTAAGCAGAGAGAGAAGCAGCGAGCGCGAACACCGCTCCCGTCCTTTCACACACGCCGCAGAACCGCGAACAGCCGAGTGCAGCGACCCGCGCAGTCATACTAGCAGCATGAAAACAGACACACAGGCGACGCTTTCTTAACACCCACCGGAAGTGGGGTTTTTTTCATTCAAAATAAAAGTATTTAAACCTTTGGACGCTGGTGTTTATGAACGGATTAGTGGGTGAGCAATAAGGAAACTATTACAAATATGTCAATCTTCAAAATATTTAGCAAAATAAAGCCAATTGGGTAATCAGGAATCGGACGTGAAACGGAAGACACGAGCACAGAAAACGATGAACAACGGTCATCAAGTAGGCAAGACAACACAGGTGATTGGGTAAAAAACAACTAATAATACTTCCTCAGTTGATTTATCACAGTGCATTAAGACAATAGTTTTGTATTACAACTTTTCTGAAATGTGTTCAAATGTGCAAATGAGCACCATCTAATTAAAGCAGCACTATGTAACTTTTGTTTTGGCGCTCTAGCGGTTAATAAACAGACCTGCACACATCCCGCGGAAGAACATTCCAACCAGAGCTACTTCTCTAAGTTTATGTCTATGGCGATTCACCCAGGTATGTGTTACTCCGCAGCGGCGACGACCCGACCAGGCTACTACAATAGTCCAAATATAAGTACTTATTATAAGTGTACCGTAGTGATTCGGAATAAGACAAAAACGCGATTTGGAAGATGAATTCATGATGTACTCGCTCATTATATACATTTAGCAATAGAAAAAGTTACAAAGTGCTGCTTTAAATGTAAGCCTACACTCATTTTCATACATTTCCAAAACAGAAATCTGAACAGGTTCGAAATTTCATTTCACATGCAAATTATAATATTAAAACATTTTACCACTCCAGAAAATCAGAAAATACGATAGTCCCCAGAAAAAGCCAGAGTGCGGATTGAACAGTAGATGGGGATATTGGACAACTGACTGCTATTCGTGGTCGGCCATAAGTGACGTGACATGTGGCTAAGTATGGTGACCCATACTAGGAGTTAGTGCTCTGCATTTATCCCATCCTAAATGCACACACACAGCAGTGAACACACACACACCGTGAACACATACCCGGAGCAGTGGGCAGCCATTTATGCTGCAGCGCCCGGGGAGCAGGGATTCGGGGTCTTGCTCAAGGGCACATCAGTCGTGGTATTAAAGGTGGACGAGAGCGCTGTAGGCCACGACTTCCCCAATTTTTGTAAAGCATCCATTGTAAGGGGCTAAGAATATTCAAGTAGATTCATTCTAGTTACCTGAATGTGTTTTTATTATCTCACGATGCAATGAAGAGAAACGCTTTCTTATTAAGCTACATAGAAATACATCTAAGTGAAAATACTACTCTAGAACATATTATCACCTGGATTATTGGGAACCTTCAGAAACACCAGCAGGCCCAAATATGCTAGCACTATTGTAAATAAACCCCAAAACTTTGAATCCAGGTAATGTGATGAAGCCTGGATGCTTTACAAAAATTATTTTGAAAAACACATAATCCATGATTCGTTATATATTTTCCGTTGAACACAAATATTTTGGAAAATGTGTCAGTGTTTTGCATACTTGAGTAAATGATGACATGATAGTCATAATTAGATGAACTGTACCTTTAAGAGTATCTGTAACCAAATCACCTGTCACTGCTTCTTCTTGTGACAGGAGGGTCATTTGTATGCTGTGTTAAAGTGACACAAAGTAACCTTTTCAAACTGTGTTAACTTAAATCCACTTTTTCTTTTACTTTTCCCTTGAGCCTTCACAGACGCTTTTCTTGTAAAATATACAGGTAACCTCCGGAGGGCGCCAAAACTCGTCCGGGAAGATCAAGCTGTGTATAACATCATGCTTAATTTTTGTTTTGGCCTAGTCTGAATATAAAACACGACGGATGTATTCTCCTTTTGAGGTGTAATAGTTTTAAGTATAATTAATGTTAACCATAGATCCTATTTTGCTCTTTATAAATTACTTTATAAAGTAAAAAAAAAAATATATATATATAGAAGCCTCTGGCTCTAAAATGCTAATTCTCTTCTGGGTTTTAGGACTACCTTGCAGCTCAAGCTTGATATCACTCACAGTGATGAACTAGTAATCTTGTCAGTGGCAATAATCAGTTCACCAGCAGATGGAATTACAGTGGAGATCAAAATTAGAGAACAATCTATAAATATTGTTAATCTTCATACTCAAAAGTTGAAGGAATATTAGCTGTAGGTATATCACTGTTATTCTAACATGTTTAACAAAATAACCAAGGCATTTCAACAAAAACCTTTATTTTGTGGAAAACACTGTGATCAAAATTAGAGAACAGTAACCACTGTTGCACGAAAGAAGAATACAACTAAAATTTTGGAGGGTTATGGCTGTCAGAAATTAGTAGTAATTGTAAAGGCCCCTGCTTTCAGTGACTTTTGCACGTCTGCTGCCACAGGACGTCACTAGTTTCTCACACTGCTCTTGTGTGATCTTGGTCCACTCTTCTTCCACAGTTTGGTAACTGTAGTGGGTTTCTTAGCCATAACTTTGTCGCCAAGGATTTTCCAGAGATTTTTATTTGGGTTTAGATCAGGACTCAGGGCCGGCCATTTCATTATTTCAGCTTTCTCAGCTTCAAGGAACTGCTTTACCCGTTCTGCAGTGTGACAGGAATATTGTCTTGCATGAAAATCGCAGGCTGATTGGGAGATGCTTGCAGGGAAGGTACCGCATGTTGTTGAAGGAGGTTCTGATAAATATTTGCATTCACCCTTCCATGTAACCCATAAGAGTCCAAACTCCTGCAGCACAAAACATCCCCCAAATCATGACACTTCCTCCTGCACCTTTTACTGACTTCTTTACTTGGGTTTCAGTCTTTTCCCAGTTTGGCGCCAAACAAAATGTTTCCCATCGGACCCAAATAAATTAAACTTGCTCTCATCACTAAAGTGAACTTTGGACCATGTTCTCCTCTGTCCACACAACATGCTCCTCAGCAAAGGTGAGATTAGGCTTTTGATTCTTTCTGCTGATGAGAAGTTTGGTCACTGCAGAGTGAGCTTCCGGTCCAACTTCTATTAAACATGCCGAGACAGATCCTATACCCTGTTCAAGACTGAACAGGTAAGCAATTCCAGCTGTGGTGTTGAACCGATTCCTCATTGAGAGTCTCTGCATTATCCGGTCTTCTCGTGCATTTGTCTTACATGGACGGATGACCAGCCTTTTTGGGGGACTTGAATTAATTAATGTCATTGTAAAGCTGCAATATTCAAGAAATCACAGATTTGGAATGACCAAAAAAAAATTCTTGCAATGGCTGAAAGTGCCTTCATCTGGACAACTTCCTGTCGCAGGGTTTCAGTCACCTTAAAGCGGCCCGCCATCTTGCAATCTCAGTGAAAATTAGAGGACTGCTGCTAGTTAAATAGGGTTTGTCATATATTTAAGGAAATTATCACCAGGTGCCAGATTAACACCAATAACTTGGAGGTATCTGTAAGTGTTCTCTAATTTTGATCAGAGTTCTTTTTCAAATATCTCATTCAAGATTTTTATACTGTGCTCCAGAATACAATTAATTTATGAAATATGCTTTAAAAAACTGCCCTTCTACTCCTGTTAACTTAAAATAGGACTAAGCAGTGACCTTGAAATTTAGGAAATTGCAGGTTGTTCTCTAATTTTGATCTCCACTATATTGTGCCAAACTCAAATATTTCTCAAAAAGCAGCTGTTAATGTAAAAAAAAAAAATGCTGTCAATTTTAGGAGTAGGTATCAAATGACTAGCCATGAAGAATGATGTACTGCATACTGTTTTAAATATTTTAGCTATGTTTTGGACTGTAAATTTTCAATTGAAAGTCATGTGAACCAACTGGTGTATAAAACTAAGGGGAATGTCAAAGGGAGAAGACAAATAGTCTTTTCCCACCTGCCGCTACACTAACACCCATGCTGACCTTAGCCACCTCTTGGTGTTCTTCCCCCAGATGACTTAAGTCATAAATCCCATTAGTCAAGGTTTCTCAGAGCCATTAAATGTAATTTTCCCAATTTCTGTGGATTGTTTCATCATTTAAGTGTGCTGTGAGAGCATATGGCCATCAGTCACTCTGCTAAACATATCTCCACAAAAAATTGCAACATTGTATAAGCTATAAATTAAGCAAAGAAAACAATAAAGCATAAAATATTGTATTCCAATTAAAAAATATATATATATATATAATGTTGAAAAACTTAACACACACATTTCGATATAAAATAATGTTCTCTGCTATTAATTCCCATGCATCAGACAGCATAGCTGACATGAGACATGCCAAACATGACAAAGTCTAATCTTGTTCTCTTCCAGTGTGTCACCTCACTCTCAGCCACCTTAAACTCATGCCCCACTGCAAATCATCCATGGCAAGGCCAGCCTTCCAGTCGTGACCCTGCTTTCATGTGAACCCATACAAAAACCCGGAAGTTTACCAGTAGGGTTTAAGGTTGAATCAACCGGGGTTTGATTTTTCAACCATGTGTTTGGGGCCGACTGAACACTTAGTTTGGGTATTTTTTAGATTTATTAACTCCTGTTTTGTATTTAATATAAGTAGGCAAGATAAACAGCTGATTTCATGATGTGCATGCAGTTTCAGCTCTATGCTTTCTGCATAATACTTGCATTGTATATAGGACATTTTCCTTTTTTTGTGTGTGTGTGTGGTTATTTTATGCTGACTGAATTCATGTAAAGAAAAAAGTGACATTTGAATGTGAATATCAAAATACACATTTCAATTTAATATATCTGTAACAGTCAGTTGCCTTCAGTGGCTAACCTAGAAATCTAAAGGTTGTGTATTGCGGTTGTTTTGGGAAAAATATAGGAGGAATTAACTTCATCTCCACATAATTAGCAAGGTGTCAAGGGGAGTTTTTATTTTGATCTTGATTTCATAAGTAAGATGTCAATGAGGTGCGTCATTGAAACCACAGAAGCACATGAACAAGCTATCGCCAATATATTAAGTTTTAATTAGGTTTTTTTAGTCAACTTTTAAAGGGCCAGTGTTTTACTGTAGGGCTGGCACTTTCACTGATGGGATGGTAGCTGGCAAGTATTTGTTTGTAAACCCTACTTGTTTGGGTACAATACTTGAACTAACTTCTATTCAGCAAACAGTGTGAATCCATGCAAAGCCTTTTCCCAAAGTCCTTTTGAAGGCGACAGCCCATTGAAGGAGGAGGAGAAGGGGATTAGCGTCTTCAGCAGCAGTGCATTTCCGAGGGAGCTGATTAGCTCGCCATTCATTGTTAAATCGAGCAAAGGAAGGCCCTAGAAGACTGAAAAGAGCCAAATAGGTGGGCCTGGAATAAAACATCCACAGGAAGCCCAACACAGGCTACATGAAGTTTTCCCAACAATTTTTTTTTCTCCTGAGATGGCGGCATGAAAAAGGAGATTAGCATACAAAATTAGATGCTAGATGATTTGTGGGGCGACTTGGTTCATGTTTTCCCTCTGTCTCAACAAAGTTAATTAAACTAGTCTTAAACAGTAAAGAAACATCCAAGCGCAAAGCATTGGGAGTGCTTTGAGGATTACTAAAACAGAAAAGGAGGCATTTGTGAAGAAGAAATTGAGAGAGGCGTGAAGGAAGGAAGACTATAATTAAATGCTCTCTCTCTTGTTGTCTCTCTGCCCCAGGGTTATGAGACATCAAGCTGAAGAATACAGAAAGCTATATATACCAAAGTAAAAGAAATCATTAGGTCTGACCAGCAGTCTACGGTAAATCATTTGATTTTACAATGTGTGGGATTTATGATATGGTCTTTCTTTTTTTTTTAACACTTGTGAAGCACATTTATTTTTCAGAGCACAAGAAATTAGCAGAGGATGTTTTACTACACAAAACAACAAGTGGCTCAGGTAATTCAGATGCATTCAGCTAATCTAAATGAATGAAAGCTTTAAAAAAAAGATACTATTATTTATCTTTAATTACGTCATTGAAAAAAAAACACATAGAAAGAAACTATCATAGAAAAACAGCCCTATAGTATCTGTGCAATAAATTAACAATATACAAAGTGCTTCCTCTTATTTACAGTTCATATACAGTATCAGGGTAAAACGTTTGTCAGAATTCTATAACCAATAGAAGCAGACAAGAAAAAATTAGGCAA